TATATTTGCACATTTGAGTGCTTCTAGTGGTTACCTACATACTCTTCGAATTTAATTGAAATCGGTTCAGTGTTTTACACGTAAAAAAATTCAATCTTGCACCACTGGTCAAAAACATTAATAACGAAAAAAAAGTGACCAAATGTGGCATAAGAGGATCGCTAATCGAGTTTTATTGACACGAATCATCACAGGGCAATTTAGTTTCTCTTGTTTTTAAAGTTGTTAAATAATAACAAATAATAAAAAATTCTGGAACAGTCAGGAGACACTCATTTTAATTAGGTGATTTGTGTTAAATCTCAATATTCTGAGCTCTTGATTATATAGCTGAAATATTTCCAATTAGTGATGAAAAGCCTTGTATATTGTTGTTGTTCAATTTGAAATTCTATGAACAAAATAATCATCAACTCTACCAACCTTGCAATGCACACAACTGAGCGGCATCTATAATAAAATAGTGGAACTGAATATGATTATTGCTTTCAGTGAGGAAGATATCTCTTTCACCAAAACTAGTTTTACAGCAACCTACAAAATCGTCGCGGTTAGTTATTTTCATCAATGATAGATGTCGGCACATAGTTGAAATAACAAGAACCTATCAGTGGTTTTATGTTTCTTATTGAAATTGGAAATTTTCCTAGAATAAATTCTCACAATTCGAGAAATCTAAAAATGATATGGGTTTTATCAGAGCCTACTCTAATACTGTAAATACTCAGGCATCATCTCAGTTATGTCCTTCATTTGGAAAAAAAAGTTAAAAAAAGACAATCGCAATCTTCCGACAAAGCTTCAGCGCTTTTCCTATCTCTGTGGAATTTAGTTCTTGTTCCGAATTGCATCATTTTATCACATGGCGTTTCGGAAATATTCAAGAATTATCATCTTCACGACCTCTTTTCAGTGGGCTGTAGCTCGCTGTAAATAACAAAAATTCTCACAATTTCAATTTTTTTTATAGGTACAATTAATAATGATGTGTTTTTATTTTTCTTCGGAATTATATACTTTTTTCATAACTCTTTTGAGCTTCTCATGAAAAAAATAATATATTTTTCCGTCGACCTCGTATTAAGGACTAAGTTTAATGTATATGAAATCGTTCATTAATGACCCCTATTAATGAACGATTTGTCTATTAATACACGATTGTTTTATAGGCAACCCAACATACACCGCGTGCATTCATTGTTTATGCTATAACTTACAGAATCTGCATTTAAATCGAAAATATGGATTTCATTGAAGATTTTCTGTTAATGGGTTCGCCTTTCCAAGTTTCTGACACGATTTTAATCCCTGTTTTCTAACACAATTTATTTTCTATGTTGATCATTTCGACAAATGTCAAAATGTCACTAATGTCAGTAACAAGGCTACTGGGTGATTCTTAGCAGTTTCCGGATGAATGATGAATTCGTCAACCAATTTTTCTTCATTGCAGGAGAAATGAGAAATATAGTCGACGGAAAAATTTTGTAACCAACTTGTATATTAAAAGGCGATTAATGATCTCGCACATTAACGCGCTCGCTTCGCTCGCACGTTAAAATATCTCGATCACTAATCGCCCTCATTAATACACTAGTTGGATAAATAACTATTAACTTGTGAACCATTTACCTATATGGGTACATAGGTAAAAGGGTTGATTCACTGGTTAACCGACCAGTAGAATGGGAAGGAAGTAGAGGTTTTCGCACTGAATATCATTTGATAATCGACTGTCATTGTCAGATGCTGTGTGTTATCGTTAGTATTTGAATAGTGCTAGTTTATACCAGGTCAGAAAATAATGAATATATAGCCTTCATTTTGAATGCATTAGGCATATGAGTTTTCTTTTTCAGTTTTCCAGTATTTTAAGAAAAAACTTACATAAATATTATTTATTTCTTAAATATCCAGTGATCGCGAACCAGTTACAAAAATTGGCTGCAAGAACATATCTGAAATAATTTGATTACATATCTACTTGTTAAATATTAGTTTGCGATCATTAAATGAGGTCTATATAATATTTCTTCTGCAATTCATTTATTGATGGTCGAAAACCAATAAGTTGAATCAGAAACAATAACAGGGGCAATGAGCATGAGTATCCTATGTTTGAAAATAAGTATTTTTCAGTTTTTTGGTTATATAGGAGTCTGCCTGAGTATAAAATGATTTTTGCATACTAATCTTCACATGTCAAGTGTTTTTCAATCAGTCCATTACCTTGTGAATCAGACTGATCGATGGTGGTCGAGAACTTTGCGGGGTGGTCAAGATTGTCAAGAACCAGTGAAATTGTAGCTTTTTTGCTTCAAAAGTTGAATGCAAAGAAAAGCTTAAAACTATTCACTAACTCCAATACAATGTTATGAGCTTTTACACGAATTTACCACTCTTAAAGTTGTCGAGAACCAGTGCATTTACCCTAATTATTGATGGAATCTTTTTCTATCTCGATTTGATAGAGGCCTACTGGAACCAATTATAACTATAACTAATTCTTTTATTTGCCACATATATATTTCATCATACTATAATAAATTGTGATATCAACATGTTCATAGGTAGTTAAAAAAATTCCAACTAGATAATTTTTTCTACAATCTGAAAATGATGATATAGATACATATAACCACTTGAATTTTTGCCGCATGTTCAATAAACACATTGTATATGACAATATTTAACACACACTAAGTAGGTATGTAGAGTCCTTTTATATCTATATCTAATTCTGATGCATTTCTTTTTCAGATGACTAATTGTTCATGATAAAGAAGAGTATAAACAAAAACCCGTCTCGTGTAAGCACAAGTCGGAAGTGTTGTTATTTCATTAGTCATTGAATTAAAATGGACATTCAAGTGAGTACTGGTGGCAATCAGCTGGTTGTAGATTAACAATCCAGTCATGGTTGCCATATCACTATAATACCTTTGAGTTAATACCTATCTTGTTTTGTATATGTTCTGCTATATTCCATAAAATATTATTGAATTTTATTCTGGCCAGTATCAGTGATCATAGTGGTACTAGGAAGAATGAATGTTTGGCAATACATATTCATCAGTAAATCCTCGTATTAGGCTAACAAAAAAGGCAACGAGCTGTGACTCCGTCATTTTCTTTATTTCGAAAAAATAACAAAAAAAAAGAAATTCGCAATGGTGTACATCTTTTTTATATCGAAAGGTATAGCAGTATATTATATTACATAACTATAGTGTAGAGTGATATTTAGCACGACGCCGAATGCGAAAATGTAACGAGCGCATGAAATACACTTTTCACCGAGTTATGTACACTATTTTTCCTACTACCGTGAATATATAATTCGAAACGCAAAACACAAATACAAATTCCAAACATAATTATTTTTCCTTTATAATTCACATGTTGAAATTGATCTTACTCATTATTCGGTAAATAAATCATTATTTTTTTCGAAGAATACAAATTGAAAGTGATACGATTTGGAAATCGTCGTAAACCAGGCAACCAAACATACATCAGAGTGCCAAGTCACAACGGTGTATAGACCCGATGAGCCATTCACGACAAAGTCGTTAATCTATGACGACAAAAATAAGCATACGCCACCTATCGGAGTTCTTGCAAAAAGCATGTCGCGGTTAGATGATGTTAGCGCTCTTATCACAGAAGTAAACAGAGGTGCGACATGTTCATTGCATCGGACTGTACGTATTATTCAATCCATAAATCAATTGTTATTGCATAAAATAATTATGTCTGCTCGGCTTCAGAATGAAATCTAAAGAGAACTTGATCTCATCACTATATACCTGAAAAAGTATTTTAGTAATAACCTGCTATTGAAAATGATATATCGAATACGGTTGCATTGGGCATGGTTGAAGATTTCATGTTTTATTCTTCATGAAATTGAATAGTGATACCATGGCGGAATAAAATGATCCTGTTTTCATCAGTTGCGTAGGAAATATTAGAGGAAGAGGAACCATAACCTCGATATTGGATAAATTATCTGAAATCACTTTCTTGTCAAAAATCAACGTAGGTATAGGTTGATAGAACTGAATTCCGAGCTTGATTACAAAAAATCCAACCGTTCTTGAACTTTTGCGATTGTTCATCTCTGAACTCTCGAAAACTGAGTACATACTTGAAGACCTTATGTCCCTACCTCAATACTTACAATATCACTAAGAATATTATTCCTATATAGAATGTTCTATGAAAAATTCATAGGCTTTTTGCTGCTACCTGTATGTTCTCACATAATAAGGATATGAAGTGAGTAGGAAAACATCACCTGTGTGGCTATTTTTAATTCTTCCCCACAAAAATTAAGAAATATGATGACAATAAGGGTTGATACTTCATAACGTCACCTGATAAATTTTCCCGAAGATCCTCGGAAATTTTACAAGAAGTGGCAACACCGCAGTATGATAAAAAATCCATTTCAATGAATCACACTGACCACGAATAGAAAAAAACACTCTCGAGCCTTCAGTTAAGTGCATAAGTGAAGGATCTGGAGAAATCCATCAGTAAGTTGGTAGCACTGAGCGCACTTGAAGACTTCATGTCTGTTTCTCAATGTTGAAAAAATTACTGAGACTATCGAGACCATGTCGAGGGTTTTCTGTCGAATTTGACAAACACCCCATTCTGAATATTTTGCTGCTACTTGTATGTTCTCTCATAATGAGAATATGAAGCGAGTAGGAAAACAAATCACATGTAAGGCTGTTTTCAATTTTTCCCTACAGAAAAAATTGAAAAAATATGATGTCGAGGGCTGGTACTTCATAACGTCACCCGATACATTTCGTTATTGTTACTGAATCGATTTTTCCGAAGATCCTTGGAAACTCTACAAGAAGTGGCAACGCCGCATCACGATCACAAATTCATTTCAATGAATCACACTGACCGCGAATCAAGAAAAGCACTCTCGAACCGCGAGTTAAGTGCATAAGTGAAGAATCTGGTGAGATCCAGTAAGTATGGCAGTACTGCTCGAAAACACAGCCAACTGTATATGGCTCGCCTTCGAGGCTCTTCAGCAGGACAAGTCGGGTACCGTGCACAAATCAAAGTTGAAGGTAGTGTAACATGTGTAAAAAGTGCGTCCTAATTGTTTATATACAGTGTGTTGATAAAATAACGAACGATTTGGATCGAATTAATCGGCTGGGTGGCCGTAAATCATGTTATATCCATCCTCAATTCTAATACATTATTGTGATAATAAGTATTCGAAATACTTCACAAGGTGTTTGGGAAAATGTGGGAAATCTCTCCGATTCAGATAGAACTTGAAACTAATAAATGATTACATTTAGCTCAGTAAAACGGTAACAATTAGGACCCAATCCGGGAAAAATTCAAGTAGTCGGTTTCTCTGTGGTTTTATATGTTATTGGAGGTGCTGAATTCGAATCTGAATTTTGCAAAGAAAATTTCCTGGAGCGTTCCGAGATATTAGCAAAAAACAGCGAAATTTTCGGACTTTTTTCGGTTTTTTGCCCGTACCTCGGAAATCATACATTATATCGAAAAGGCCGCCTTATAAGAGGTTGAAGTAGATACAATTTCCTAGATAGAATTGTTCTTGCTCATGCATGTAGGACTGAAGGGTGCGGAGATAGAGCTAGTTGAAAATTGACCAAATTTGGGTACTTTTAAAAAAATAGCGTTTCTCGTCGGTTTTCGCAGATAATTCATATTTCACGTATTACTCAGACACAGAGCATCATGCACAATTTGAAAAAGCATCAAATTTCCTAAGGAGGTCCTGTAAATTTCGTGATTATGAAAAGACATGAACGGCTGTTAGAGCGCTCGGACTTGGAGACTTCTTTTAGTCGTAGTTGCCACAGTCATGTTCATCCTTTCAGCTTATATGATTTGGATCATGCTCTAAAACATATAAATAGGTCATTGTTTTGTTTTTGTATTCTGAGAGTGGGGGGGGGGACAAAAAACATTGAAATTCTGTACGCTGGAATTATAGTTGTTATAATCGCGATACAATAATTCCAAATGCTACAGCACTGCCTTCCCATCATTTGCTGATTTCAATTAACGTTTGTAAACCTCTCTTCTTCATCAATCTTGTAGGCCTTCCATCCTCCAAACCTTCATCACATATCAGACACTGGCGATCTGACATATTCGACCACTGGAAAAAAGCTTGTATATGAAACTCATCAAAAAAATAATAATAAAACGGAAAGAATTGAACAGGAACTTTCGTATTTCGAAATCGCAGTGAGGCAGGTTCATAACAAGCATTCGCCGTAAATTCGAAAATAGCCGACAGTGACGGAAAATCTTCTAACTATATTTTCTTCAAATGTCTGACATTTCTGATATTCGTTGTTAGGAAACTTGATTTTCCTACTCCGTTAACGAATAACAAGAGGCAGGTAAGAAAAACAATATTCTTCCTAGATGATATGAATATACTTAAGAATTCACATGTCTAGGACTCTTCCACATCAGGCAGTATAGTTCGTTTCTTCGAGGAATGCGTAGATTTGGACGAAAATGCTATTTTTTCAAAAGAACGCAAATTTGGTCAATTTTCAACTGGCCCTGTCCATAATTTTCGGAATACAATGATACCACCTCTGACACCACATCAGTGACTTTTCAAACATCATAAGTTGCGTTTTATTTGTTCCATTCTGGTAACGGTGGTGGGAACAGAATGACGTTTACAAATAAAACGAGAAACTTCATGAACTTGCAATCCTTCCATGAGAGAAATTGACATATTATAGATGGTAGAGGTTATATTTATACATTGGGGCTCCAAATAGTTTCAAAATCATAATACTAGAGTTAAAAATCAAGAAAATGGATCAACGCATATTTGGAGCAGTGATTGTGATGATTGGAGAAAATTCTCTGAGATCGAGAGAATAAATTTTATCTGGGAATCAAGATATAAAACATATCTTACTTGAAAGAATCATGATAATGTCTTCTACTTTCAAAAAGTTTCGTTTTTCGTCAATCTATTTTCATTTTCTGACAAATGTCAACAGTCATTTCGTTTATTTTGCATCTAGGATTTCTAGCAACCACCTTCGTCATCGGATGCAGTAATTTATTTGCCTTATTTCACCTACGATATTCATGATTTATCACCAAATGGAATTTCATGATTTATCACCAATACTATCCGTTAGTAGGTACCTATTCATAAACATCAGCAAATTTATGGAATGTTTCATTGGAATTTGTTACATTTTGAAACTGACGTCACGTGACTGGGAATGTGAAGTTGCTTTTGAAACATTTAGAACTAGCAATAGCAAACACCAAATTTCGAAGTCATATTCAAATAAACAGAAGAGAACTCGGAAGAGAAACTTAATTTTTATTTTGTGAATGGTCGTTTTTGTGGGTATTGCATAATAATTCATATACCTGGTGTCCCAAGCAAGCAATATCTCACTTATATGACAAGAGGATCAAAAAATGAAAAAAACTGCTTTGAATGGCATCGAAGCAGCTTCCCAATGACTCATAAAAAATGGATTACATTTGAAAGCTCTGTGGTAGCTACTGTTCACTCTTTATTTCCAAATGACACACCCTGTATTTTATTCCTAAATCGGTTAGGGATTATCATAACGACTTCAACGATACCGGGTTCGATAGGGTTATTTCAAATGATTACGGAGATTTTCGCGTTCTAAATTTCCCTCGAAATTTCCATATGCTCAATGAGTATGACAAAGACAGAAGTTCCGATATTGCACCATTTCACTTTGAGCATATGGAAACTTCGAACGCCAATCGAGGGTCAAACTGCAGTAAATTCAAATTTTACAGGAGCGACAAAAAACTTTCACATTAATTGGGACAAAGTATAATCATTCAACTTTTTGAATATTATTTCAAAGATATGATGATTACTCAGACTGATGAAGACAAGGATGAAGCATTATAGGAACTCTTCCTACCTTTAGAACAGAAATTCAGTTTGAGAACAGCACTGCTTCAGAAACTCAAGATAAGAAACATACGAGGTAATGTTTTTCAATATTTCTGCAGAAACCACGCGAAAAACTACAGCCTAACTCACCCGAAAGATGGAGGTAGATGTTCTGAAGCACTTTCGATGAAAAACGTGATTTTCATAAAAATATCTGTTACGAGGTAGTGCGGTTTGGCCCTCGCAATATCTCCGTAATGGTTTGAAATAACCCTATCAAACTCGGTATCTTGTTATGATAATTCCTAACCGATTATGGAATAAAAAAAATCCCGTATAATTAGTAAGTTAGTGATACAGATTCGGAGAGATGGAGAGAAATGAGAGAATAGTCTACTGAAATAATCCTTACCTAATCGTTGTGAAATATCGACATTCTGTATTTATAAGAGTGAACAATATCGTAATGCGGTTTTCTCATTTCGCCAAATATAGAAAACGGCAATGTAAAACTCTGCAGGTTGTTTGAATTATCTACTTGAGTATGTCAAGGTTTACTACGAAAACTTTCAATATAAAACGGATACTGGTCGATACATACAGTTTTTCGGATTACATTTCATTCTCATCTTTGTTTGTTTATTCCAATGACTCTTTGTGAAATATCCATTATATTCTATGTATGTGCATTGAGCAATTCCATTTCTGTTCCATTGGGAATTGGAAGGCGATTCCGGGATATTCAATGGACATAACCCATAACCCGCATTAGTCAGGAAAGTGAATCATATATTTACATTTATTTTATTATTGTAGGTTGTAGATGATTGCGGAATCATTATACCGGTATGATGTTTTCAAATGTGCCAATATATTTATTCCACTACATTCCTAAAACAGTATTTTATGTAACTATCATGTAATGATAACTATTAATACGAGTGTATTAATAGCCATTACGTGATCCTTGCAAACACTATATTTTTTTATCTAGGACCAATAAATCCAATCTTTGAATTGCCCATTCTTTTGACGCGTTGTGATTGGATGTCAATCGAAATTGAAGTAAAAAAAAAACTCAACTAAGATGTAGAAACATAATATAGACCCACTTGATTATACCAGATTATACCCTTCACAGGGTGTCACGACGAGCTTTATTCTATCTATCTTTATATCGAGGATTAGTCAGGAAAAAACCATGGAAATATAAGCATTCCTATATTTCAGAATACGCTCTCTTCATTTATAATATTTTCGACAATGCAGGTTGACGCTTCTACTAGAAAGTAGTAGCAACATTGATATTTCGAATATAACACCCTGTATTTTATGGCATTTTTAGATCCCTCCTGAAGATCTTATTCCATCGATGTAAATGATAACAGAGATATAGGGTGTTCGAAATCGAGATTTTTCAAATTTAGGATTTTTTTGTGTCGAAACTATTCATTATCGGTCAAAACGGCTCACATATCCCCATCTCAACTTTCGATTAACCATTCACTGATATTTAATCGAAACAGATACATGGTGCGGTTCAAGATTAAAAATTCTGACAACCCTGTATCCGTTGAATATCAGTAAATAGTAAATCAGATGTTGGTATAGGAACATGTGGGCCATTTTGGTCGATAATGAATAGTTTTGACACGAACAAATCCTGAAGTTGAAAAATCTCGATTTTGAACACCCTATATCTCTGTAATCATTTCCGACAGACCCCAAGTGTGATGAATCGATCAAATCAGCTCTTCAGGGAGAATCTAAAAATGCAATAAAATACAGGGTATTTCATTTGTAATAGTAGAGTTGTTGCTACTTTTTGATAGGAGCGGCAACACTGCATATCTTCATGAATTTCCCCCGACTGATTATTGATATAGAGATAGTGTAAGCTCGTCGTGACATACCCTGTATAGTACCTACGTGTCTCTATAGGTCGATAATTCATTGCATTTAGAAAAGAACGTGTTTTCCAGATCACTTTATTGGCAATTCTATAATTTGTCTACTATTCTTGTCTCGAAAAAATCAATTTCATGGAATTCAAAAATTAGAAGAATTTTTGCATGAGCCATGCATTCAGAATGCTATATTATTATCGTCATAATATGGCTTTTGTAGTAAACTCTTGCACACATCAGCAACTTAATTTCATCAAGAGAAATATACAGGGTGTCTCTGAAAGGTCTGTACAAAATCTCAGCACATATTCCTAAGGTCTCTTGGGATGCGAAATACGAATACGGACACCTTTTCACTGTGACTATTAGAGGGCACTTACCAATGGACTTTTAATGGATTAGAATGGCCATAACTTTTTTATAACTATAGTTTCTCACTTTATTCATGGAGGAAATGATTTTCCTGACATTTTTCAGCAAAAATGGAACTCCTGAGAAAATCCGCTGGAGCTGATTTCTAGATATTTCGATTTTAAGTGCTCGAAGCAGCACCTGAATTTCCAAATTATTTTGAATAAGAATTGTTTGCTGTCATCTTCGTGGATGTAATCTGATCAGTCAATTAGCAGTGCAAAAATGTAATATTCAAAATACTTTCTTGAAATGTTTTTGTCCATTTCTTAATTTTTCATCTTCACCGCCCTGTATCTTGGAAACATAGCAATTGTGGACTGAGATGAGTTGCTTCTAATCGGCTCATTTTGACGTCAGGAATATAACCTGAAATTTTGTACAGACCTTTCAAGGACACCCTGTATACTAAATATAGCTTTTGGAGATTATCCTAAGAATCCTAAGTTCACTTCTGCATAACTCTATTTTCCGAAGGAAGGAAGGAATGCTCGAAGTCATCTCTACAAATTTAAATGGTGTTGTTATACAATCAGAAGGATCATATGTTTCGGTCTTATGAAAGATCATCTTCACATCACATCGATCACATAATTTGTTCTTGACTCACTTGGAGTTATGAAAATGTGATGCTACTAGTTGTGAAATTATTGTCAATGTCCATAGACGCAAAATCGAGTTCATAAATGAAGAAACGGGTTCTCAATAAATGAAGGGCCACGTGCCCTGAGAGCGAATACAATTCATTTTATCGAAATTTTATGTACCAAAATGGTATACGAAGGGTAAATGCCAAAAAATCCATTTTTTTTAATTACCCTTCATATATCTTATGGCACAGGGCCCTTCATTTATTAAGAACCCGTTTTCTCATTTATAAACTCGATTTTTCGACTAAGAGCATTGACAACAATTCCACAATTAGTAGCATCACATTTTTACAACTCCAATAGTGAGTCGAAAACAAATAATGTAATTCTTTCACATCAATCTTTTTGTATTGTAGAACTTTCAATTAGGTTGAAGATGGTCTTTCATAAAACCGAAACATGACCCTTCTGATTGTGTAACAACACAATTAAAATTTGTGGAAATGACTTCGAGCATTCCTTCCTTCCTTTGAGAAATATCTCTGCACTTTGAGCGATATGGACTTCTACCAAATATTAACTCTATATTCTGTTGACCCTTGACCCACAAGCACATCAGCTTCTACAAGTCTATAGGTATCGAAAATCTCTTTCACATTTTTTTTCTTCAGGTTCTGACTGCGAATATAGGAACCTTGCTCGACCTTTATGGTGTGGAAAAAGGGCTGGAACACTACCGCAGCGCATTGACACTCACTTTCAATCAGTTCAAGTACTACCTCAAGACAGAAGTGTTCTCCTCTCTTCCCAACAAACTCCATCTGTCAGAACTCCGCATTTACGAACACAAAATCGCAGAAGTATGCTGGCTCGTATGCAGAAGGAAATACCTTTCGAGAGACCTCAGCGTGTTCTCAGAAGATTCCTTGTTCCAACTATTCCGGATATTTTGTGTATTAGCGGAACTGGCACCAGACCAAAACGATGACAATATTTACCAAGCAATCATGCATCCAACAGAAGTGTGCAACATCGCTCATTCATTATCCAGTTCTTTAGGCTGCGTTTTTGACGAAGAAGATTTCATGAATCTCAGTATCGCTGTTGGCAGTTTTCGACTAACTCCTTTCATAGCAATATTAGAATCAAGATGCTTGAACAATGTTGATGATAGCTTAGCCATTACTGAAGCAGTAACTGACATTCACCAGAAAATAGTTGAAGATGTTATCAAGAAAGGTTACCTTTCAAAAAGAGGCTACATTTTTCCCACCATGAAGGAATACTGGTTCGTCTTGAGGCCGTCTGAACTAGCTTACTTTAAAGCCAAGAACGAAAAAGTCAAGTGTGGATCACTGCCTATAGAACCAGGATGCAAAATAGAACCGAAAACTGGTTATAAAATCATGCTGCACACGTCTGAAAGGTCTTTTGAACTGGGCACGTCCGATCATATGTCGAGACTGCAGTGGATATCTGCTCTTCAGTTGGCATCAGATCATGCAGGTGAGGCGATGCAACTTCCAACAGCGTAATTCCAAAAACAACACCCAAGACTGTTATCATTAATAAACAATTTCTCTGTAGGGGGATTCCAGGGCTATCAACAGCTACAAATAGCGAAGCGGAGACTACAGAGGCAAGGCAGAGTACAGGAAATGGTCAGAGCGAGGGTCCAACTCCAGCAGGAGAGGAGTGCAAGACAAGCTGCCGAAGGTCAAGCCAAAGAGTTGGAGGCGGTTGTGAAAGAGGAGGCGAAGAAACTCACGGAGTTGGAGCAGTTGAGAACCAAGCTGGAGAGGCTCCTGGAAGAAGAAACTCAGGCGAAGAGAGATGAAGAAATAGTGAGAGGGTAAGAAAATAGCCCTAACAGCATACAATGTCCAGTACGTTTTGTTGAATTTTTTAGAGCGTGAAAAGTATCGGAGTAATTTTGTTGATTTATCTCAAACCGTTTTGAACTTTTCACCAAAAAACAATATTACTCAGACTCGTATTTTCAACACCCTATATCTCGAAAACGACGCGTTTTAAAGTATATGTTGATATGAACTTTTTTTATTGTTTCAATGAGTACAACACTGTAGAGCATATTATAAAATGTCCTTGCAAGGATGTCTATTGGATATCCTGATTGGGTTTACATATTATTGAGGCATGCCTCAGAAAGGACTTCCAAAGGGACTTCCTATCGATACTATTTGATACGGATGTAATAACTCAAGGATGTTCTTTGAACCTCTGAGATATAATACATACCTTCCTATTTCTAACCATTTTCTAGAACAATGTCTTATATGGACATACTAATCGTTACATCTCGTTGATTGACATCATTCAGTTTGGCGCTAATTAGTCTTAGTCATAATCAGCGGTATCCAAATAGTATATCTACGTGTATCGGACATTTTTTTACTATTGAGGTAAGAGAACATTATAAACAAATTATGCGATAGTCGCGGTTTTCAAGGTCATCATCTGACGTTGCGATGACATCAATACTGGGGGTCGTGACTGGGGGAAAACATGACTAACTTTCAATCTATGCCAGGAGTGAGGAATGTTTCCCTCCAGTTCCAACGTCATCGCCTAGTCAGATAATGACCTTGAAAACCGCGAATATGCTTCACCAAATAGGAGATATAAAAAAGTTTGATATTTGATGGAGGGCTACAAGAGTACCAGATTCGGGTTTTATGTTCGTATTTTTCAGTCTACCAGTTTTTGGTTAATTATCCATTTGGTGTCTCACTTCATAGGTTACAAGCTCGAGTCTTAGCAGAAGAATGGGAGAAAAGAGACGAATTAGAGAGGCTGCAAGACGAGCAGAGACTACTTCTGGAGGAGGAAAGGGAAAAGAGGAAAGAGTACGAAGAGCGACAGAGACAGAAAGAGGAACAATTAAGAAGTAAGTTGCAGGAAAAAAATAAAAATAGAATGAAATTGAGCTAGTTGGTAAGGAGGATTATGTGGTACCTACATAATAAGACAATATAGAATCTGCGTAAATGCTATATAATCAAATAAAGTGATAGGTACCTGCATGATAGGTTCTTTTAGTAACGAGTGTTCAAAAAAAGAGTGTCTAGAAGAGTTTATGAACGCGTTACATATACAGGGTGACAATAATTCGAGCTTGAGCATGGGGATCTCGGTTATTTTGAGAGATACGATTGACAATTTTGAAGACTGAGAAATAAAAACTGTTGGATATTTGAATTGAATGATTCAAACCTGACGCATTTTGATCCAACAACATATAATCTCCAAAAGTTCAAAAAAAATTCCAATACCTACCTCCTGTCCCTATCCTCCCTAGGAACGCACGATGTTCTTTGAACATTATAGGGATTCCCTTTCGTGCGCTCCAAGCGATAAAAAAAAGACAAGGAGGGAAAACTCCAATAATCTATAGACCTAGAGAAGAAATCACGTCATCAATGACATCCTTCTGTGTATAATTGTGTTGGCGATGATGAATAATATAGTCAAATGAAATAATCATGGCATATTGGCTATTATTCATGAACTTGATATTAAAATTAAGGGCGCGCATCACAGTGAAATAGTTCGCCCACAGACACCAGTGAAACTATAAATATATCACAGCCGTCTAGTGGCGCCATAATTATAGTTTCATGAATTATTTCTACAGAATCCTTTAGATATATTCAATTCGATCAATAGGGAACCTCATCAATAGATGTCTCTGAATAATGTTTGTGGCTGTACTAAGGGAACAGGTACAAAGTCACCTACAGTGTTGCCAGTATTTAATCAGAGTACGTCGCCAAATTAGTAGTAGTAGAAATTCATAATAGTGTAATGTTATATTTCACATTATTATATTTACCACCTAGTATTCCCATCCTGTGATGACCTCACCATAGAATGAAAGTCATACGATAGTTTATATCTCATTATATCTAACATATATTATATTTATTCTCTGTCACAGTGTTTGTGGCCAAACTCCTCCGAAACGGCTTGACCGATTCTTATGAAAATTTTTGTGCATTTTTGGTAGGTCTGATAATCGATCGTAAACTATTTTTTAAATTGGAAACTCAAGATGGCGGATCCAATAAGGCGGACGAGTTTTCTAATTATGATCCGATTCTATTCAAAATCTCTGTATCGGGTGGTTTTCGGGATTGAAAATAATGATACTTTCGTCAGAATAAGGAAATTAAATATGGTGGATCCAATATGGCGGACGAGTTTTGTACTTGTGATCCGAATATTTTCAAAATTGGTATCTGGGGTTTTTCGGTATCGGAGAATATGATTCTTTTGTCAAAATCAGAAAAATAAAGATGACGGATCCAATATGGTAGAGTTTTGTAATTATAAAAAAATTCCAATACCTACCTCCTATCTCTATCCTCTCTAGGAACGCACGATGTTCTTTGAACATTATAGGGATTCCCTATCGTGCGCTCCAAGCTCCAAAAAAAATAATCCTATTCTATTCAAAATTGGTATTTGGGGGTTTTCGGTATCGGAGTTTATGATTCTTTTGTCGACATTTAAAAAATAAAGATATCGGATCCAATATGGCGGACGAGTTTTGTTCATGATCCGATTATTTTCAAAATTCGTAGGTATCTGAGGGTTTTCGGTATCGGGGAATATGATTCTTTTGTCAAAATCAGAAAAATGAAGATGACGGATCCAATATGGTAGAGTTTCGCAATTATAACCCTATTCTATTCAAAATTGGTATTTGGGGGTTTTCGGTATCGGAGTTTATGTTTCTTTTGACAAAATTAGGAAATTGAAGATGGCGAATCTAATTTGCATATTGGATCCGGATCTATATAGGTTTTCGTTGAAAGGGATTTGCTCTTTTTATTTCAGAGTTCTGTGGCCAGAGAATGAAGAAGTTATACGTATCATTGTACCTTTGGTTCTTATAATCATTTGAACTTCCCGGAGATTTTGAAGTTTATGTTGACATGTTTTCTCTGTGCGTTTTTGAAACATTTCAGACACATTTACCTGATGAAAATAGATGAGATGTTTATGATATATTATTATCAAAAATTTTTTCCATATGATGCCAACTTTATGAATGATACTGTAGAGTGTAGAAACATAATATAAACAAAACACCTGCTAACGTCAAATGGATCTCGCTCTGTGCGGATGACTCGAATCTACTTGGATGGTAAAGCCACAAAGCCATTGAATTCGGACTCGCGATACTCATCTCACTCCCAGAAGCCCATCAAGTCGTCTCAATAAGTCGCCTGTCGCCAAGTTTAATTTTTGGTCGCCAAAATAGGTTCAGAGATAGCCCAATTGTCGAGAAATTGCCCATACTGGCAACACTGGTCACTTATCGATTTTTCTTTGAAGTCCAGTTGGAATCGTTCGGGGAATCACACACACTGCCTGATACCGCGACACCGCCCGCTCCGCCAGTTGGCAGTGCTGCCAGCGTTCTGCTATTTTATATTATAACACTGATGTTTTTGTATATATCAGTAGGGGTCAATCGTTCATGTTCATGACATTTCCTTAGACCTGGCATCACTGGTCACTGGTTGAAACTAAGTAGCACCAGATTTCTAATTCTTAGCAAATGAGAAAAGGAGGAAAGGATTGATTACTTGCTTTCATAAAAAATAATCTTTTGAGTTTCATATGGGCCTATATCACAAAAGACAATATTTTGTTTATGCCTACACTGATTTTTTTATGAATATTACCTGTCATGAGTGGATTATGTATACTTACTTCAACACCAGTTTTTTGAATGTGGGAATTCAAGATAATCAAAACTATTTTCTATAAATTGGAAGGAAAGTGGTGGTTACGTTACGATTGAGATATGGGATATGAGAATTTCCCAATTCTGACCAAATGATCATAATCTCCGACCCCGAAAACCGCCAAATACCAATTTTAAATAGAATTGGTCGATAATTACAAAACTCGTCCGCCATATTGAAACCGCCATCTTGAATTTCCCAATTTTGACTAAAGATTCTGAATCTGTGACCCGAAAATCCCAGATACCAATTTTGAAAACAATTGGTCTATAATTTCGAAACTTGTCCGCCATATTGGATCCGCCATCTTGGATTTCCAAATTTTGAAGAAATAATTGTTATCTCCGACTCCGAAAACCCCCTAGATACCAATTTTGAACAGAATCGGATTATATTTGAACAACTCGTCTGCCATATATATTGTATCCGCCATTCTGAATCTCCTCATTTTGACGAAGAAATCATAATATCCGATCCCGAAAACCCTCAGATGCCAATTTTGAATAGAATCGGATTACAAAACTCGTCCGCCATATTGGATATCCGCCATCTTGAATTTTCAATTTGAAAAATCGTTTACGACTGATTCTCAGACCTACCGAATATGCACAAAAATCTTCATAAGAATCGGCCAAGCCGTTCGGAGGAATTTGGCGTCAAACACCGTGGCAGGGACAGGAGAATTTTATGTATTAGATTAATATTATCAATCAACAGAGTCAGTTATGCAATACACTCGATAGACTATAAAAAGAAAAAAAAGCGCAATTACTTACAAAAAATCGCAATGACGCAAAACGAAGTTAAAAAGCGCCTTATTGGCAACACTGTTCCCCAGACCCAGAAAGAAGAAATGAATAGAAAGAGAACTGTAATGTTTGTATTAGTTCTTGAAGGAGCGCAGCACGGTAGTTTCACTGTGTGGCCCTCTGAAAGACAATAGCTGAACTACTCTGCCACTGTCGAAACCTCGCTAACAATATGGCGATATTGAAAATAGATGCAGAAACGTCAGAATTAATTTTACGAACAATACATTCCCAAACGACAATGTTCCAGAAGCTGATTATTTCATCAAAAATTTATTGAATTGCTAACTTAGGGTATGCCAGGTTTTTATTCGATTCTGTTACACAAACGTTGTCAATGTTATTGTTTTTCATTACCATATATTTTTTTACACAAATCGAATTTCGCTGGAAAATTCCTTCATATCCTATTCTCAACCTTCGTCTTTAATATGTACCAACCACTTTTGCACTTACACTTATAGTTTATTAATGATTTGGTACCAAACTGACCTCTGCATGGCAGGTTTGACTGATGCGCCCTCTTAAGCGGTATCAAACAGATACAAGAGATTTTCTTATAAACTGATCGAAAAAAAATAGGGATAATTTCAAAGGCAAACTAAATAGGTATCAATAGCTATACCACATTTTTTCTAGAAAAAAATCTTCATAGTAAATACACAATATTCATAAACTATTTCGATCAGTTTATTACAAAATGTTAATATTACTAACTTGTTTTCACAAGAACGAGCGATTACGTGGGAATTATGTTCATCTTCATCTATACTTTCAGTTTCATGTGGGTGCTGTATACATATTTTCATTAATACAGTGTAGCACGTTTCATTATCGGTGTGCTTATTTCGGAAAATCGTTGAATAAATTATGCATGCAATGAGAGCATTCATCATTCGAATTTATTGTTCAAAAGCTAGAGAATCAGAAGATTAACATGAACCTCGATTTCAGAATATATTGAAGTATTTTTTAAAAGCCTTTCATAGCTCATGGTACAATTAATGATTTCGAGGATTCTTATCTATCGTCTATAGACGAACTGAAACAATCTCCGAATAAATAAACCATCATTTTCTTGAAAACCATTGCATGAAGCACGATATACGTCTATTAAATATTCTTCAATTGATCAACCTCTGTCGGAGATAACTCCGTAAGCTTACTGTTGCGTTGAAACTAACCTTGCTGGCGTATGCAGTCAGTAATGAAGCCTATACAAAATACATATGCACTATGTACTATCACTTATGATTTCAGATGCTGAAGAACGTCTTGCACAACTAGAAGAAGAACGCCAAGATCTCGACAACCAGTTGAAAACAGCGAACCAAAAAATCAGATTTGCCGAAGACAAGAAAGAATTACTCGAAGCTAAACTTTATCAAGCTATACCCGTTCTGAGAGAAGGTGACAGAGTGAGGCGAGCTCACTCTTTCGTACCGAGCACCAAAGAGCGGCCAGTCATTTTGGAAGTCCGGTCTGGAACTCTGAAGCGGCCTAGCAATCATTTGTGAATTATAACAAACTTACCTCACCAAACGTGCCACAGTGTATTCTTAATCTCTCTATAAGTCTATTGAGTTCATGGGGACCCGCATTTGGACAATTTAATTTTTGTGACTACCTATCAGGGGCGGATCCAGACGATGTTTGAGGGGGGGGGGGGCATAGAAAGTCACGGCTCAATAAGGTTAGCGCGGAAGAGAAATTATATGGTAACCTTCTGAGACAATAAACATGAAATCTTCAGTTTCCTTTCAAGTATCGAAATTACTAGAGTAAAGAAACGAGTTAAAACTCTTATTCTATCAATATATGTAAAATTCTGTAATAAATCATATTGGATAAAAAAGTAAATGAAAAAATATTTTTTGGTTGAAGAATTTGGGTTCAAAAGTGAATAAAAATATTTCTTTTAAAAAACAAAACGAATATCAAACAGACAAGAATAAAAATATATAAAATAAAGAAAACAAATTCCAGTCTTCTATTCTTCTGCCTAGCGTATCTTTGGATGATATCAACATTCAGACTGTTGCAGATGCCCCTATGAATATGAATCAATGCCAATCCATTTAACCTGTCTTGGACCATTCTGGATCTTATCCAATCTTTCAGCCTTTTGAGTGTTGAAACACTTCTTTCAGAAGATGCAACACTTACAGGCAGGCAATATAATGGGTCCAGAAGAATGTTTATGTTAGGAAACAAATGTTTGTTACATTCCTTCAGGGCAGTTTATACCATTGTTTGGTATATTTTGCTTAGTATCGCTCATTTTCTTCCATATATACATTTCAGAAACGATCTTCTGAAAGGACATTTCATTATTCATCAATGGTCGGAAACTGTTCAAGTATATTTCTCATACCTCATATATTTCCTCATCTGTTTTGTTTTTAGTTATTGCTGGCACACTAAGGTGAAGGTTGTATAGATTCAATTTATTTTCAGATCAAGGATAATACTGGGATGAAAACAGTTATTATGTGAATGGTCATCCACTAAAGAAACCGTAGGATTCGGTCTATGAACCAGTCTCCCTGTTATTCTCGGCATCGAAAATTCAACATTCAGTTCTTTTAATTTCTGTTTGGCTTCATTCGAAATACTTAGATAGTATTTAGAATATCATCCCTTTTATTTTGAAGCGTCAGAAGAGTGATACTAACAACATCGTTAGCTTGTTTTTTGTCTAAGTTTTTTGTTTGGAGCAAATTACTGAGTGGCAGTGTTATCGAAAATATATTTGCCAAACAGCAGAGTGATATTACAAATTCGCAATTTTTCATAGCTGTTGCGAAGTTTCTAGCTATGAAGACATATACACTAATTTTTTCATTTATTCAAAATATCTACATTTTTACATATCCATGAGGTTTCCGAGGGGGGGGGGCATGGCCCCATGCCCTCCCCCTGGATCCGCCCCTGCTACCTATATATTTATTCAGTACATGGTCCATGTGATGAGGACATGACAAAAAAGGGAGAATTCCTTCATCAATGGACGAGTTCAGCAATTTATTGCCAACCTTGAAATTAGCTAAAAACTTCTTTTGGAAACAGGTTATTTTTATGAAATATTGATGCATTATTGATGACACATCTCTTTCCTCATCTATTTTATAGATATTTTCCTGAACGATGCTCTTCTGGAATATCAACAATTGTTCCTTCCTTGGCAGTCCCCGCGAGATTAACCCGTCGGGTTGAGGCTTCGCACCCCTTCGTGGTCACTTCGGAGACCTGCAGAACATCTCTTTTCAAAGACTCGTTCATCCAACGACCAGCGAGGCTCTGGAACATATTGCCAGGAGGTGTTTCCCGAGGCATATTACCTCCAGAAATCTAAGAAGATCACCAATTCCTACCTTATTTCCCTTGGTTCTCACGATGTTCTCTGAACATTACAGGATATACCTTTTCGTGGGAACCAGAACATAAGGAAAAAATACAGGAAGTCACCGACTCTCGAATCGCGGGAGATTATCAAAACTCTGATGACAAGTAATTTTGAGGTTATTTCAGTTAATAGTGAATTCCATTGGTAAAATTGTCTCGCACTGAGTGCATAATTCTGCATATTTTGCATTCCATTGGTGAAGCTGGTGTCGTTTTTAATTCCATTGGAAAACCGGTTCACATAGTATAGAGCTCAGTGCAACAATTTTTGCTCGAGCTCTAATAGGTAGTGCGAAGTCAGTGCAGTTTTCAAAATGGCGGAAACATTTGATATGAATAGTTTGAAAACCAAATTGTTAGTGGCAATCTAATCATCATCATCAAATAGTGGTGAAAAGTTGGAGGTTTCAAGAAAATAAAGGAGATTACTTCCCAGAATTCATAATTTTTGAAGTTAAGAAAGAATTTCAGGATGCGAACAAGTTATAAACAACGACAAACCAACTTATCCGATTTAACCTCCAACAATATTCTTCTTACAGAATTATTATTTCGTATTCCAATGGAAATGCACCATTCCACATCTTGGAGTGCAAAACTGGTGCAAAACCAGTGCACATTCAAGGAGTCCCTGTTCACCAGTGTGAATATTATGTCGAGGCCTTATTAGAGAAGAAAGGAAGGATCATCATAAAAATATGGAACATCCTTTGGATCTCATGATGAGAGCAAAAATAAAAACTTAATGTTTCACATTATTTCACAGTATAGTATCAGAACACAACACTATAATATAGGTTCATCAACATGGACAATCTACTACTGAAGTAATGAAGTATCATACCTTGACATGGTATCCACCCAGAGATGATGGGTAGGTAACACAGGTAGGTAATGAGTAGTTGAGTGGTTTCTAATAGGTATACTTTTTGGAAATAGAGGTAATGAGATTATTAGGTAAATTCGTTTTGTTTTTCATGATGATCCTTCTTTCCTTCTCTAATATGGGCTCAACATAATATTTACACGGGTACACAGGTACTTCTCGAATGTCTTTGATGTCTGAATCAAAGATAAATTTCATCAAATGAAAATTATGAAGATACTTGCATTCTTCAATATGCCTGAATGCCTTCTTTAAATCGTTTCGTCTTGTATTGACCTGAAAACGGCCACAGGGGTCACAGAACAAAACAAACATGTGTCATTCATCTCACAGGCAAAATAACCTCAAAATCACTTGATATCAAAGTTTTTATAATTTCCAGAGATTCGGACGCCGGGGACTTCCTGGTACAAAAATCGATAAGGACAAAAATGGTATCAATATTTTATGAAAATAATCTGTTTTCGGTGGTAGACGTTTTCAACTATTTTCAAATAAGTTGGCAATGAATTGCTGAACTCGTCCATTAGAATCAACTCTCTCATCCCTTACCTTTCATTTCTCACCACATTCACAAATCTCATAGTCACGTTTTTCAGAATTGAGACTGAGAAAGGACCCCGCACTAAACTATAGGGAAAATGTCTCTCGATGAAAATCCCTGAATTTTTGGTATGTTGCAGACTTTGATATACTGAACAGACCTTCCATTGAACTAACCTCAAAAAATGGACGGTTTTTTCGATATTGATCCTGAAAATGGTTGAATTTTTGGCATGTTGTAGATAGGAATGAACTGATGAAAAAATCCAATTGACCTAACCTCTAAAAATTCAACCATTTTCAGATACTTTTTTTTCTCGAAAAAATGACATTTGGAGGTCTATATCGGAAAAACTGACCATTTTTTGAGGTTCGTTCAATGGAATATCTGTTCAGTATATCAAAGTCTGCAACATACCAAAAAGTCAGCGATTTTCATCGAGAGCCATTTTTCTTAAAGTTTAGTGCGGAGTCCTTTTCAGAATTTAGTTGTATAGGTGCTACTAATATGCAAATATGTAGAATGAATCATCTTGGATACAATATTTGGTTTCTAATTATATACATCTGAATGATGATTCGTTTTCGTGGCATCAGAAAATCTTGAAAGTTTCAATCAATACGATTGTGATAGAAGTGATATTGATCGAAAGTCATAAGAGCGGTAGTTCAAATTCACATAAACACAATCGATAATTTACAATAAATGAAATACCTATCTCATCACTGAAAGTGTTTTGATTAGGAAGTAACGTTTCCAGTGGATACACCCATACCTGACACTATAGTAAATAAGACACTAACTATGCATTTTCCAATTTTTTCATATAAAGGTACGATAAAAAGGAAGATATACCATATACAATGAATATTCGAATACTTCAATATCCAGAGCTATAATTTGGAATTTAGGGAACTCGGTGAATTCTAGAAAATTGGCGTAGATTCCTTTTTCGTGAATACTTCGGAATTAGGATTCGACAAACTTTCGAAAACGTGCTGTTTGATCTTTTTGTCTGTTCCAAGAGCAACATTTGGATCACTAGTTCGAGTGACAATTATTCGGGGAGCTTTAACTGAAAATACATTAGATGATACTAATTGAAGAGAGAAAAAATATGGACACAAATTGTACTCACATTCAAATCTGCTCTTCTTTCCTCCTTTTCCTAAATTCGTGGAGAAAGGAAAATTGCGTTAGTTGGTTTTTCCTGATGTTGGTGTTTTTTTACCTCCTTTTCCTTTACCTTAAATGGGGATAACGGGGATAACAATAAGTTTCTTCTTCAAATCACATTGAAAGTGGCTTTTTAATAGCGCTTAAAAGGCAGAAAAACTATACTTTTACTATCTAGGAAGAGAGAGTTTGTTGCTTGATTCAGATTAGTAAACGAAACTAAGAATGATGGATCATTTGGGCTTTGCGTGAAATTGTAACCAATTTGGATATAAGGATATATGTTTCACATGGCAGAAAAGGACACTATTTATTGCTACGTCTGGCGTTTAAATCACGCAAGGGAATAAAGCTGCTGAAACAAATATAATTTTTTCAAATTCGTTCCAATTTCACGCAAAGTCCAAATAATCCATCATTTTTAATATTGTTTAACAATCTGAATCTTTCTCTGCCTAGGCAGTACAGGTAGAGAAAGTACAACTTTTCTGCCTGTTAAGTATCAT